AGAACGTGGACCTCGAAATGGGCGTGAAACGTTCAGAACTACCCCTCTGGACCGTTTTCCAGCCAAAAATACCTGACTCCCAGTTTTTCAACTTCGCGGCCCAACTAACCACCCTGGTCTGGGTTCGGCATTGACGGCCCGGCAACCCCTTGCGTATACTTAGTTTCCCTCCACGCAAACCCCAAAGGCCTCCGCCATCATGATCCTGATGCGCCACCGGGCTGTGGTGCAAATTTTCTGCGCCAATGGTCAGTTGTGGCGCCATTCCTCGCGCACTCGGTTTGTACCATTGGTGGGTGCTTTCAAACTCCGCTATCCAGTGCACTGAAAACTTAAAAGATTACCGTAATGATTGATTCCATGCCGAAGAGACTCCCATTGCTCCCATTACATTCTGGTTTCCAAGCCAACAGTAACGCTGTGGCCCACTAATGGATCGCATTGAATCACAATGTTGGTTCATCACCGCTCGGGAGCCCCCTATCGCGGTGGATATGATCTGATTTGATGATCGAAAGGCGCAGCCACTGATCCGCCATCGAATTGGATTTCGATGGCGGTTTTTTCCCCTATTTTCAAGTTGTTATCGGTGGATGACACTTTTCAGGAGGCAGTTAAATATACGCAACTTAGTTGCCGATCGCCCACCGCCTCGCAAGTTCCCTCGCCCTAGAAGCCCTGGCCTGGAGAACAACTTGAATGAGGTTGACGTTCGGAGGATCTCAACAATCTGAGATTCAAAGAAGCAAAGATGATCCCGTACGCAATAAAATAAATGTGTTCCGTAGGATGATATGCATTGGCGGTGGAACACGATCAGGATTTCAGGGGTGCAGGTGGAATGGGATCAGGTTTGAGGATCCTACGTCTTCTCGAGGATCATCAGTTCACGATGTTCAATTTGCAGGTCATGAATTGCTCTTCATTCAATTCGGTCAAGTGCAGCTGGGAACGGATCACACATTTATAGGACGAGGATCTCGCGTGGCCGACAATTGAACATCCAGATTTTTTGGCATGGCAGGGATGGCAGATTGACGCCTTCTGCTCAATTTCTCAAATTGGGCCAACAATAAATTAAGCTTCCTGCCATTTTACTGAGGATTAAAGACAGCAATAAGGCTGGCAAAGATGATACATCTTCATACACCTTGATCATGATAATTGGCAGGAGGAATGGCGCATTTCACTGACCCTCCTGAACAGGGTCGTCCTGCCAACTGCACACGGGGTGTTGTACCTCGACCATAGCACACCTTCTGTTCGACATGCATAGCCTAAAGGCACTTACACATAATCCCGTCGATCATGATATCAACAACTTTTTCTGTGACGTCGTGGAAATAAGCGGCAGGGTTATAATTGGGGCTGGAGAACACCTCCGGATCCTATCAGCGAGGACGGAGTTCGCTCTGTCATGTGGTAAGATTGTTTGAATTTAATCTCATGATTGTGATCCCGAGAGCGCGATATCTATAATTATGGCCCGGTGTACTTCAGGGGGCGGTAGATGAGCTGAATTGTTTTGTCGGAATAAATCAAGTCGGTTACGCCGGAGGAGAGGGATGAACTTGAACCCAGCCTGGTGGCCTCCTCGCTCTCCAATTAAAACACCGCTCACCACCCGGGGTTCAAAAAATGTGGGCGGATATCATGACGTGGACCTCTGTATGCGGAGATCGATTAAATTTAGACCAGTGTTGTTTGTCGCGCGGGAGAAGCCGCATCTGCAGATTCTGCACAATTTCTGCATCACAATAATATTTGGATTGAACATGGGGAAGGACCTTTGGGGACATTCGTCCTGAACGGTTGAAAACTGTTCATTGTGCCAGGAAGGGAAGGTGTAATAAGCTGAATGACTATTTTCAACCGTCACCCAATCCTCTTGGGCGGGATGCCGTGTTTGATGCATTTTGGCGGGTATTTGACCTTACCTTGGTCTTTTAAAGTCACGAACCTAAACCGAACCGAAAGGGTCAAGAAGTTGCTTGTTTCAAACCAAAAGAAACTGGCTCAAATGAAATGGCTACAAACCAAGTCTATGGGTGGAAGGGAAGTCGAACCTTGCATATATTCTCCAGTGTGCACCGCGCACCACTCGACCCAACAAGTTGAGTTGGTATTGAGCTCAGCTTAATCCTGCGCTGAACCCTATATTGTATTATGTGGATTGACGATCCTCAGATCAAAAAGGAAAGAAAAAAGCAACAGAGCCACTTCCATGCCTGGGAGATTTGTGCAGCTCCAGACCTCGAAGGTACTGCGCTTTGTCGGGTAACCCAGTTGCGGTGGGATTACCCCCACCTCGGGCATCTCGACTCAACTGCAACATCACTCGTTCTGGTAGTACAACCAATCTCAACCAAATTAGGCCCCATGCACGACCAAAACTTTTCTGCACACACTTGCTTTTATTGCGCGTACCTTGAACATGGGGCGCATCGTATGTAGAAAGAGTAAGTTTGCATGCGTGAGGGAGGAAGAGGAAGAAACAAAAAAAAAATGCTTCTTCATCAAGTTCGTGGCTCAAAAGAAGAACTGATTCACAAGGCATCCGTCGATGGGGAGTCGAACCCCGATTCAACCAATCTTAAACACCATGCGTATCGAGGCAGATTAAGGTTGCGTGCGCCGCGCATCGTCGACGCTTTCCTACACCTAGCTTTACCTCCAATGACTACCTACCGCTGAAAACAAATTGGTGCCCACACGTTAGTTCCCTCAATTTTGCGGAATTGACCGCTCGGGCGTCTCGGTCCAACTGTTCAACTCCTTAGTTGGGGTAGGGCAGATTTAGTACTGCACGGAGAGGAAGAAACAAATGCTTCTTCGTCAAGTTCGCGAGTGGCTCAAGAAAAAAAGCACACTTTTAACAAGTCATGCGTCGAGGGGAAGTCGAACCCCGATTCAACCAATCTTGATCATCTCAACGGTGCAACGTTCAGATGAAGGTTGTGTGCGCCGCGCACCATCGACGCTTTCCTACACCGACCAATGACTACCTACCGCTGAAAACAAATTGGTTCCCATGTTCCGAAAATCTCAAACGGGAGTTACCTTAATTTTGCGGAATTGACCATCGCTCGGGCATCTCGGTCCAGCTGTTCAACGTTCAACCTTAGTTGGGGTAGGGCAGATTTAGTACTGCGCGAAGAGGAAAAACGAAAACAAATGCTTCTTCGTCAAGTTCGCGCGAGTGGCTCAAAAAAAAAGAAGAAAATAAGTGTTTAATCGACGAACAACAAGCATGCGCCGACGGGGAGTCGAACCCCGATTCAACCAACCAATCTCACGACAAACCATTGAAGTTGAGGTTGCGTGCACCGCGCACCATCGACGCTTTCTTGTGCACTTATGTCCAACAACTCAACCCAAAACGAATTGATGCCCATCCTCTCAAGTTGAAACTGGGATCGACGACTCGGGCATGTGCAACATCAGTTCAGCCGCTGGGGCCTGGTTCAGCCTGGTGTTGTAATATTCTGCGGCGACCTCGGCTCGACTTGGAATTCATATTACACATGAGTTCATGCTCAGGCGGGGGTCGGGCATATGCATCTGGAGCGTGTTCAATGCTTACTATCAGTGACCGGGAACCGGGCCACCTTAGCACTTTTCATCTCTGGCTGGCTCGTAGATGGGTGTATATATCCGATTTTTGACTCTTGAGTAAGGACCAGCATACTGACAGTGGAATGAGATATTTTGGGTGAATTTTAGGTGCTGTTTTGAGTCCGCCGCGAATTTATTTTTGATGCGACCCCAAAATGGCAATAAACGGCCTAACGGGCCACTGGGCTAAATCGATCGTTGGGGCTCGTACCATGCAGCCCAGAGTACTCAGAATGACTCAGGGGGTTCAAATACATAATTCTATATACACAAAATGTGGCTCAAAAGTGTACAAGGGTTACAATTACTAGCACTCCCGGCCAAGGAGCATAGGGGAAATTGGGGTATCAACAAAGTTGTGTGCAGTACAAAGCAGAGAGACTCGCCTTGGGCAAAACTAAGTGCTAGAAGGGTAGATAGGAAGTAATAGCACATGAATAAGTGCAGAGGATGGTAGCTTCATACCAATAACCTGTCAAACAATGTCCATTTATTTGCGACATGAAAAAGGTGTGGTCTGGTGGAATGACCCTCCGTGACCACGAAGTCGAGTGGTAGACGCTCAAAGAGAGGTGCAAGGTAATAGAAGTGCATGTAAACAGTGTGCATACTAAATTCTAGGGCGACAGCAGTGTGGGGTGGGTCGCCAGACGGCGGTCTGTCTTGTGCCGGTCAAGAGAAGGCTGTGTTGTTCTTGGACAGTACAGCAGATATTTCAGCTCATGCTGGCGTCCAGCGTTGGCGGAGGACATTGCTCTAGCCGGAGGGAACAAAACAAGCCCGCAAACGTGAAAATTGGCCGAGAACTGGTTGAGAACGGAGGAAAACAAGGGCGCCAACGCCGTTCGGAGATAAGAAATAATTCTCACCCACCGTCGGAGACAAACGGACCACAGCTTCTGATCAACGCATCACTCCGCCTCCAAATTTGATCTACATCAACGTCAGACATGGTACTTTATTTCACGACTCCAAAACCACACATTTAGGCAGTCTCTTGTAGAATTTGGCTCCGGCAGGAACTTCCAGACAAGAGTGATTGCAAAGAGAGTTCAGGACTGTTAGGCCCGGTTACAAACCAGTGGGGAAACTACAGAAAGTATTCGAGCTTTTATATGTAGGCGAATATCAAATAGATAAGGAATATCAAATAAAGAGATCAGCATATCAATGAAACAATGTGGATGCATAGCAACAGATAACAAATGCACATGGCGGATAACAAACCGCATGGTGAACCACATGGGCAGATAACATGGTCAGGCTTGAATCTCCAACATCTCTGCCAGTGTATCATCGAATGGCCCGTTACCCCGACTGGCCCGGTAGGCAGTCATTGATAGTATTGGAAGGGGAAAAAAAACCCTGCCGGGAGGACCGGTTCATGCGTCGAGGGGGAGTCGAACCCCCGGTTCAACCAATCTCAAACCTCACGTCAAACCGTTTAGATTGTGGTTGCGTGCGCCGTGCACCATCGACGCTTTCCTACATCCAGCTTTACCTCCAATGACCTACCTACCGCTGAAAACAAATTGGTGCCCATGTTCCGAAAATTTCGAACGCGAGTTACCTCAATTTTGCGGAATTGACCATTGCTCGGGCATCTCGGTCCAACTATTCGACTCCTTAGTTGGGGTAGGGCAGATTTAGTACTGCGCGAAGAGGAAGAAACCAAAAAAAATGCTTCTTCGTCAAGTTCGCGATGAGTATACCTGACCTTCGTCACTTCGTTACTTCGCGTAAGTTCGCGGATCTTCGTGACTTTGATGAGAATCTGTGAATGTTCGTCACATTGTCATGTTTTTAGGGAAGTTCGTCACTTAACTCGGCACACCTAGGCACGTTCAAAAACCCGGAAGCACCGGCCATCATTGTTCCTTTAACATAAGGCCGGGCGGGTTTTTTCATATAGATACCTTACCTAACGCTAACCTTTAACCAGAACCCTACCACTAACCTCTAACAACCCTAACCACCTAACCCAAACCTCTAACCAGCTAACCGACTAACCCAAACCCCTAACCACCTAACCCAAACCTAACCGGCCATGCTCGGCACAATGCTGATACCCATCACTTCGTGATGCAGAGCAGTTGCCGTGCAACAAACAACTCACGAACTTTCGCAGGAATATGCCAATGTCACGAAGATTCCCAGATTCTCATCAAAGTCACGAAGATCCGTCAACTTACGCGAAGTAATGAAGTGACGAAGGTGAGGTGGACACGTTCGGGATTGGCCCAAAGAAAAAGAGAACGGTTGTACTGAGCCTCTACGCGTCGAGGGGGAGTCGAACCCCGGTTCAACCAATCTTTAACTCTATGCTTATCGCGGTAAATTAAGGTTGCGTGCACCGCACACGATCGACGCTTTCCTACACATAGCTTTACCTCCAATGACTGCCTACCGCTGAAAACAAATTGGTGCCCACACGTGAGTTACCTCAATTTTGCGGAATTGACCACCGCTCGGGCATCTCGGTCCAACTGTTCAACTCCTTAGTTTGGGTAGGGCAGATTTAGTACTGCGCGAAGAGGAAGAAACCAAAAAAAATGCTTCTTCGTCAAGTTCGCGATTGGCCCAAAGAAAAAGAGAACGGTTGTACTGAGCCTCTACGCGTCGAGGGGGAGTCGAACCCCGGTTCAACCAATCTTTAACACTATGTTCTTGTCCAGATTAGGGTTGTGTGCACCGTGCACCACCGACGCTTTCCTACACTGACCAATGACTACCTACCGCTGAAAACAAATTGGTGCCCATGTTCCGAAAATTTCGAACGCGAGTTACCTCAATTTTGCGGAATTGACCATTGCTTGGGCATCTCGATCCAACCGTTCCACTCATTAGTTGGAGTAGGGGAGATTTAGTACTGTGCGAAGAGGAAGAAACAAAAAAATGCTTCTTTGTCAAGTTCGCGAGTGGCTCAAGAAAAAAGACAGTTCTACAAGGCATGCGTCGACGGGGAAACCCCGATTCAACCAATCTTAAACACCATGCGTATCAAGGGAGATTAAGGTTGCGTGCGCCGCACAACACCGACGCTTTCTTACGCCTAGCTTTGCCTTCAATGACTACCTACCGCTGAAAACAAATTGGTGCCCACACGTGAGTTACCTCAATTTTGCGGAATTGACCATCACTCGGGCATCTCGGTCGAACTGTTCAATTCCTTAGTTTACATTGTTTACATTGGAGTACCACGCCTCTGTCTAAATACAAGACTGAGGTAGATAAATCTACCATGGCGGGTCGTAAAGGTTATGATGTTTTGGTGATTTTCTTCTTAGTTGGGGTAGTGCAGATTTCGTACTGCTCGAAGAGGAAGAAATGAAAAAAAATGGTTCTTCGTCAAGTTCGCGCAATTGGCTCAAGAAAAATGCACAGTTTCAACAACTACGCGTCGACGGGGAGTCGAACCCCGATTCAACCAATCTTAAACACTATGCCTCTCGAGGTAGATTAAGGTTGCGTGCCCCGTGCACCACTGACACTTTCCTATACCTAGCTTTACCTCCAACGACTACCTACCGCTCAAAACAAATTGGTGCCCATGTTCCGAAAATTTCAAACGTGAGTTATCTCAATTTTGCGGAATTGACCATTGCTCGGGCATCTCGGTCCAACTGTTCAACGTTCAACCTTAGTTGGGGTAGAGCAGACTTAGTACTGCGCGAAGAGGAAGAAGCAAAAAAATGCTTCTTCGTCAAGTTCGTGAGTGGCAAAAAAAAAGAGCACTTTCACCATACATGCGTTGACGGGGAGTTGAACCCCCGATTCAACCAATCTTACACCTCACGTCAAACCGTTTAGATTACGGTTGCGTGCACCATGCACCACCGACGATTTCCTACATCCAGCTTTACCTCCAATCACTACCTACCGCTGAAAACAAATTGATGCCCATGTTCCGAAAATTTCAAACGTGAGTTACCTCAATTTCGCGGAATTGGCCATTACTCGGGCAGCTCGGTCGAACTGTTCAACTCCTTAGTTGGAGTAGGGCAGATTTAGTACTGCGCGAAGGAGAAGAAACAAAAAAATGCTTCTCTTTACGCGTCGAGGGGGAGTCGAACCCCGGGTCAACCAATCTCAAACCTCACGTCAAACTGTTTAAATTGAGGTTGCGTGCGCCGCGCACCATCGACGCTTTCCTACCCTTAGTTTTACCTCCAAATGACTACCTACCGCTGAAAACAAATTGATGCCCATGTTCCGAAAATTTCATCAATTTTGCGGAATTGACCATCACTCGGTCCAACTGTTCATGATCAACTGTTCAACTCCTTAGTTGGGGTAGAGCAGATTTAGTACTGCGCGAAGAGGAAGAAGCAAAAAAATGCTTCTTCGTCAAGTTCGCGAGTGGCTCAAAAAAAGAAGAAGCGCACCAAAGTATGGGTCGATGGGGAGTCGAACCCCGATTCAACCAATCTTACACCTTACAATATTTTTGTCCAGATTTAGATTGTGTGCACCGCGCACCATCGACGCTTTCCTCTACTCTTCCCTTATGTCCAATACCTCACCCTAAAACAAATTGATCCTGGTCGTGCGTTGCACCGTAGTGTGCGGTGAGCTCGGCTCGACTTGAGATTCATATTACACATGCCGAGGCATCAGGAGTGTTCAGCTCCACCTGCATGCCCGTTGTACATCTACATCCGCATTTTGTTTGGACAGATACATAAAAGAAAAGGAGGAAGGAGGAAGGAAGAAAATAAGAGATTTAAAAGAAAAGAGAACGCAAACCATACATGCGTCGAGAGGGAGTCGAACTCCCGGTTCAATTTCAATCTCAAGGGGAACCTTTACCGTCCAGATTTAGATTGTGTGCGCCGCGCACCGTCGACACTTTCCTCTACTCTTCCCTTATGTCCAACAGCTTACGCCAAGACGAATTGATGCCCATCCTTTCAGGTTGGAACTGGGATCGAAGGCTCGGGCATCTGCAACATCAGTTCAGCTGCTGGCGCCTAGTTCAGCCTTAGTCTGCGGTGAGCTCGGCTCGACTTGGAATCTATATCACACATGCGAGCCGGGGGTCGAGCATATGCATCTGGAGCGCGCTCAATGCTTATTGGAAGGGGGAAAAAAAACCGCACACTGGCATCAGAGCGAGAGTGATTGGATTATCGAGGTTCGGACGCTACCACGTTTCGGATGAGATACAATAAAGCCGGTCCTATATTTTCGCGTCGTGGGATGCGCGGACCGCGGTTTCGTGCTTCCGAGTCGGGTTTCGCTTCTTTTCTTTGCGAGGGTACTTGGAGTTTTGGACTTGCGGACTTGTGCACTTGTGGACAGCACGGCTTGCAGTATGGGAGTCGATCTTGGTTGCTGGTGGTTGATTGGTTGGCTCCGCACTGGTGGGTTGGATGGGAGGCCTAGGGCGGGTTGGAGTGTGTGTGACTGGGCAGACAGACCGGAGTGGTCGTGTTGCGTTGCGGGGTGGGGTGGTGGATACTGACAGACTCCGATGAGCGGCGCCGAGTGAGTGAGTTGAGAGTGAGTAAGTGAGTGAGTGAGTTGCGGATGTAAGCAAGTGAGTAAGCAAGCATAAAGAAAACCAAAGAGCTCTCCACGCGTACGGGCCCAAAAACTCGGAGTTGCGATTCAACCGGGTCGGTATCCGGTATCCGTCGGGCACGCGGGTCGACCGACGGAGTCCGACCACACTCACCGCAAGTTGGCCGCAATTTGGCTACGGTGGCCGAGTCCCGAGTCCCGACACCAGGGCCGACGCTGACGCCGACGGAGTAATTTGAACACGACCGGTTGGAGCCGAAGAAATATCGATGGCGTTCGCGTTTGAACACCGGTGTCGCGGCGGTGCGCGTAAATGCGATTGATGGAGGTGGTGGGGGATTTGAAGCTTGAAGCTCGAAGGCCGATGCGGACGGATATCGATGATCAGATTTTTGGTGTTGTTGGGGGTTGGACTTGGATTTGGATTTTGGACTTGGATTTTGGACTTGTCAAATGCAAAGAGGAAGCGGTGAGGTCGTGCGCCGCGTGGACGCGGCAGGCACCGGCACTGCCTCGCACCAAGCTAATGAATTTGCAACGAGCAGGAACGGACGGAGGCGTCGGCGCAGTGGCCGGTGCGTCGTTCGAAGGCTTTGGTTTTTCCGAGTGGTGGGTGAATGACCATTCGCGCGTAGGAGAGCCCCAGTTGTTACACGGGTGGAGTACCTGTTGTGGCGTAGAACCGTGCTAGGAGAAGAATGGTGTTGTACGATGGAATCAGGCTAGCGACTGAATGATATGCACGGCACAGGAATTTAGGCTTGGAATTGTGGACGTACCGCGGGAGAAGCATGCGCGCAGTGGGCACGGTGAAATGTCGGGAAGCCGGTTCGTCGTCTCGCTGTGACTCGATGCCGTTCTTCCGATCCAGAGAGCACAGCCCCCCGACGCACACGGCGCACGGATCGTCTTGGGCAGTGCCGATATAATCTAACCCCTTTCGGTGGCTGAGTCAGTG